GTGTTGTTTCCAACTACTGTGATGCATTGCATTCTTTCTGAGATCAGCATAGTTCCAACCAAAAAAAGAATTGAATTGTTTCAGTTCGTAGCCTTTTAAACTCGAGTTAGCAAGCCCATTGGGGTGTTTTCACACCTAATGCCTTAAAGCCATCCGGTTTGGGAGTCATTGACCTAAAACTCGCTACATGAGTTCATTAGAAAGCTTAAGGGACCGGAGCAGCGCACATGATTGGTTTTTGGCCTTTTTAACTCGAGTTAGTAAGCCCGTTGGAGTGTTTTCACACCTAATGCCCTAAAGTCATATGGTTTGGGAGTTATCGTCCTAACACTCGTTATATGGATTAACTAGAAAGCTTAAGAGATCAATTCAAAAAAAAAAAAGACCAATAGGCCCATGCCTGATTTCAAAGATCTAAAGCATCACAGTTTTTGTTGGGGACAAGGATATGATTAGAAGACGTTTGCCTTTCACTCCACACTATATCTCACTCTACACGTAAGTGACTTGTAATGCTTTCTATCTGATTGTGATTTGATGCCCTTTTTTTTTGTAATTGTTGAATACTTTCCATACAATTGTTTTCATTTCGTTTATATTCAATGTATGAGACATCATGCAATGAGAGACGAGTCGTGTTGCTACCTTAGTTTAGAGCAAACGACTCCTACTACTTGAGACGATTTGTGCCTATACGTTGAACGCAGCAATCCTCCTGATCAATATTTCAAGCTTATAATTGTGAAAGATTGGGTAGTCCAAACCATAGCACAATCAACTTCCAACTTTAAACCCTATTTATGTAATTAGTGGTGGATTCATTGTCCTAGGACTTTCCCCAATTAATTTCTCAACACGAATATTTAGTGCTAATTGATTTTAATTTTCATTATAATTCCCGTTTCAATATTACTATCATCAATCATTTTCATCAAATTAACTTAGGAATCTCGCAATTAAAATAGTTAAATTTCACATTAGTCCCTGTGGATCGATACCTACACTTAGCCCTATTCTACGGAATTGGAACCGAGTTTAGTTCTTTATTTTTTGTGTGCTAAACGACCCATCATATATGAAAATGATTTTCTTTTTTTGTGATAAGTAAAGCAAATTAAATTTAAAAGCATCAAAGGGGATGCTACCGATGATAACCTGTATAGGCAAAGAAAAAACAAAACAAGGCTTACACACTCAAGACAAAAAGGCCTCTAGCTTTTTACAAATGAAGAAAATCTACAAAATCAACAATATGTACTAAGTTAGGCATAGCTCTCCCTGAAATCCAACTAACACCAAATGACCATCATACAACTTTTAAGCCAATTCACTTATCAAACAAGGGGAAAAAATATGATTTTTTTTTTTTTTGATAAATAAAGAGTAACTTCTCTGGTTAGCGGTGGGAATCATGTCGTGTCATGTCTTGCTTGTGTCGTGTCACCTCGAGCTCGTGTCAAAATCTCCTCAACACTAAACGACCCATTTAACTAATTGTCTCAAATATGTTGATACTAACACGACTTGTTTATAAATGCGTCAACCCAAACAAAACCCACATAACACGATTAATAAATGGGCCGTGTTTGGGTCGATACAACCCACTTACAACCCTTAATCTGTTAACAAGAATGAGTGCATTATTCTTATATATGTCTACAAGAGCAATATATATGAAAATAACTCAAAGAATTGTGACTAATCCATAAATGTACAAGTCAAAAAAATCACAAACATCCAAAAGTACACATAAAATAATTTTTAAAAGAAAAATAGTTATTCACGAACACAACAAGGTACAAGTTGAAAAAAGAACTACCACATAAATAAATAAATAATCAAAATCTATTATACAATTGGTTAAATCAATAGCATTCAAGCATAACATCGATCATTTGATAAGAAATAATACAATGGCTCAGTCATTTCTTTGTCTTCTTCTTTCCTTTATTTCTTCGAGTTAAGGTAGGACCTATCAATCCTCATTATTGCATATAAGAAAAAACTTCATATGATAACATGCCTTTTCAAATTCTCATTACTAATTATCAAGACCATCTTAAGCTAGTACTGCAGTCTGAAAATACATGATGCAATATAATTATACCACATAAAAAATAGCAATTAAATTAAGATCATTGGCAATGCCTTTACCGACTCAAGTGCTTAGGAGATTCATTCAATGTTTTAGGGTCCTACATGTGCTATGTACTTAAATGGAGAACAGCTATGCACCTTAAACAGGTTGTGTTGGGTTGGTTTACAAATCATTGTTGAGTTTGTGTTAACAGGTCAACGCAAATAATTATATGCTTAGCTGTGTGACTCTGTCAGATTCGAGTCACGTGGGTTTGACACTAACCTAAGCCAATTATCTGTCATGTTATTGGGTCATGTAACTATTGATTTTGTGTCAAGAACTAGCCAACCCTAAACTGCTAATTTCTTGTTCGGTTCACATAGCTTTAACGTGTAGCGTCAAAAATTCCCACCCCTACTTGTCGAATATTTTCTAATTGTTGCATGCATAAGCACAAATAATCAACTGCATTAATACTTTTGCACGAACAATTAATAGTTCCCCCCATTTTCAACGCTTCCACATTCTAAGGTTAGCCTTGTATTTTTCTTATAAAAGAGGAGTCTCCAAAATATTGCCTTCAAGAGGCTAAGCTTTTTTGAATCCATCCAGCCACCAATTCGGAATGGAAAATGGCATCACTTTAAGAGCTGCCTTCCTCAAGAATAAAGATGAAATCTGGGTTAAAATGGTCAGCTGACTCCAAAGTAGGCATTGGAAAGGGTAGAACAAATGGGGAATGACCGCCTTATAGCGACAAAATATAAAGATATTAGCATTTTTTATAATATCTAATAGCAATAAGAATATAAACAACCCAAACTCCAACATAGCTGACCCCAAGAAATTATATGAAGTAACCAAAGACTTCCAAATGAACTTTTCTACAACATTTCAGCAATAATACATCAAAAACAAAATTTTGGGAAAATAAAATAAACAATCACTAACAATAAGCCTAAGCTATGCAAGGCCATTGTACATTAACACCTACTGACCCAATGTCACACTATAGTCTGTAGATATACCACACTGATTTCTGATTACTCCACCTCTCATTCCATAAGGATCTTTTTTATATTTATAGGCTTCCATATACTATCTTTCCTTGATAAACTTCTACCTAGTAATAGATTACGGTTGATACCTCTTGTCAACCTCATGCATGAGATCACCCATCCTCTGCACCTGTTAGCTAAGATACTTGAGGACACACCCTGGGAACAAAAGTGTATGGTTTGTGGACGTCATACCATTTGACACAATGGCTATAACGGGATACTCCATAAAATGAACAGACAATTACACATGGTCCTATCCTGTGGAAAAATTTGGACAGTATCTCATGCCTCATGTTCAAAACTCTTTATGAGAATATTAGTATTAAGTAAAAGTACTAGTGACCAACAATAAGGGCATTTCGGAACAAAAAAGCTAAAGAGGACGGCAAGAGTGGACTCGCTTGCATGGGGAAAAAGATTTATTATTTTAATCTTTTAACCTTAAGACATGATGCAGGACAACACCTGAAATGGCTTTAAAGCTGGAATTTGTAAAGTTATGCCGGGGCTTAAAGTTCATCTCTAGTGAAAAATTAAGGAGTTTTTTAATATGTATGGAAGGAAGGTTAGGGCTCAATTAAATAAGGGAAAGGAATGAATATTGTGACTGTTCTAGGAACTATGAACAGTACCCGTAAACAGTTTCTTGGGCTGTTGAAGTGCAGAAAAATATAAGAAAGGAGGAGGAAGACAGTTCTAGGAATCACTCTTAGAGGACTTAGGCATCACAACTAGTGTTTGATTGCATTACACAATCTATAAATAAAGTTTTCAAAGCTCTTAAAATTTTTTAAAATATCAACTCTATTAAATTAGAAGCATTACACAACTTTATAAGACTCTAGAGACTTCCTTTCACTAGGAGTCTAGGACTAGGATTCCAAAAGAGAGAACTAGACTTTCGATTTGTACAGCATATCAAAGGCCAAATAAGGCCAACAAAATATAATCAATTTAATAACTTGGCTCACAAAAAGACCCATAGAACCCCGTACAGCCCATGTCTAGAAAATGTTGAAATTACCAAAATACCGTTGACCTATAAAACTTAAAAAAATCATTTAGAAAATTTAATAGATTATTACCTAGCTTAAGGAATCATAAAATAAGACTACTAAACCTAAAAACTTAAGGAAAATTACAAATAAATAAAATAATAGAAAAAAACAGAGTTTAACCCTTATAACAAAATACATTTTTTAATTTTGTCAATTTAAACCCTAATTTTTCTATTTATTTTCAATATAAACCATAAGCCAATTTTTGTTAAGTAAGACCGACAGAAAAATAGTATTTTAGTCATTAAACTCAATGTATGTGTACATAAATTGTCTAAAATACCCTTTTTCGTTAAGTTTGATTACTAAAATACCCTTTTTCTATTAATTTTCCCTAATGAAAATAGACAAATGGTTTAGATTGAAAACAAATCACAAGTTTAGGGTTTAAATTGACAAAACCAAAAACTCAGGATTTATTTTGTTATAATGGTCAAACCCTAGGTTTTTTTTATAATTTCCCCAAAACTTAATTATACATTGATCCCAAATGAATTTGGCTTTAAGCCACCCAATTTCCAAACATATTTGCATCTTTATTTTATTTTTTCTTGATCTTCTAGTAGACTGCATCAAGACAGACGGGAAAACAAAACAACAGTAAAAAAAACATTTCAAGCCCATCACATTACAGCCATAAATCAGAAGGTTTTGCCAGGGTTGGATGGCTAAGCATGGGTGAGGGACTCAACATAACAAAAGCAAGAGATGCTATTAATTTCAGCATTAACATTTAACACAAAGCAATGGTAATTGGTTACCAAGGAAGAAAATTATCATCTCTTAATTTAAGAAGCCAACCTTGGATGGTTTGCAGACCAGATTGAATCCGCTTTCCACACTCCTTGAAAAGTCCTTTTGGACGCCCAAAAATGACAACCATAAGTTCAACGAGTGCATAGACAGCACTTTTTGGGAGCCACTCCCCATCAATAGGAGATGGTGCTAACTCAAGTTTATCTCCCCATGCCCGTTTGACATTTCCAAAATATGCTGGTTCCAAAGTTTCTTTGCCTGCCGAACTCAATCCAGTAATGTTACTCAGCTGTTCTTCAAGCTGAGCTTGTTTTTCAGAAAGTGCTGACCTATCTCTATAGTGTAGGTCAGACCGAGAGAGACTCAGATTTAATGCATTGAGCTCCTTGGTCAGCTCCTGGATATGCCGCATCTGCTGCATGTCAGCCTTCATCGCAACATCCAATTTCTCAACATGTTGAGCAGCATTCTTGTAGTCACATATCCGGAGCAGATAGAATATGTGCAGCAGCTCATTGTAAAAGAGTAAACCAATGCACTGTTGTCTCTTTATGGATAAAAATTGCCAAAAATTAACCACAGAAGAATGAATTAGAGAAAATGACAGATTATCATACAAAAAAAGAAAAAATAAAAGAACTTAGTATTAGCACATTAAACAAAGTCAGCCCAATATGAAAGCATTATCTGCCCTAACATGAAGTGAACTCTTAGGAATTGTTGCATGGAGGATCAGATATTTAGTAGTTGTTTGGCATGGGCTAAAATAGCACTCATCATCTTATTTGAGTCACAATCATCTTATTTGGGTGACATCACTTCTTATTTAAATCACATCGCCTCTCTACCACATCACTTCAAACCCAATACATATTTCATATTTTTTCATAAAAAGTCAAAAAGTATACTAATCTAGCACTTCCCAAACAACCCCTTAGCACTCAGTTCTATGATACAAAATTGTCACCATGCATGTCCAAGGGAGGGCACATATCAGGTACTCCAAAATTTTGAGAAGCAAATCTTCATCTTACATAGCAGGAGAGAAACTGATTCAAACAACTTTCAAAATTCAGAGTCTTCGGAGTTTACCATATAATCCATTGAAAAACGTACACAACCTCATGGATGGCCATATAATTACCAAATTACAGCACTAAAGTTTCACATGAAAGATGGTCTTATGTACTAATATGTGAACATTTATTTCTCCTCTTTATTTATTTATTAATTCATTCATTTTTCTATTTATTTTTTATTACGTATTTTTTCTCCTGTTATTAACCAAGGATCACACCCGCCTGCCTTTCACCAGGCCTGGACAAGCAGTGGAAAAGGCGAAGTTTAAACCAAGTGAAGAACTTTTCAGTTACATGGCGATAATTAACAACAGAATGCAAAATTTAATTGGAAGCCAAAGATATTTATATATTTTGTGTAAATATCATTATTACTGAGTTGTGTTACAAAGTGCAACAATACTGGAGCTATTGACTATGAATAACCATTGAAACCGCTAATAATCACACATAACAGATCGTTTGAATCAAAGTCAAAATATAGTTATAATCCATTTCCCATCAGCAGTGGAAAACCCTATAATACTACTTTCTTTCTTTTTTCTTTTGAAGAGCAAACCCTAGAATACTACTCAAATCAAAGAAAAGAGCCATTAGAACTTCTAGTACTGTTATTGATGTATTAATACAGTCCTTGTAGCTTATTTATATATTGCAACTTACAACAGAAGCCTGTCACGTATAAACTTGAAGGTCCAACCCAAGTTTTATCTGGCATAAGCAAACTTCAGAAAAATAACTTATACTGGATAAAGATCTGGACTTACCTTTTCTGGCTGAATAGACTCCCACACCTCATTACATTTGTTAACAGCTCTCTCAACCAAATTTACATCATCCCACTGCATGAGGTGTACATGCAAGATAGAAGTCGCAAAAAACATCTGGTCCACCGGTTGACGATGACAATTAACAACATATACAATCAGATACTATTAACAGGAACAAACAGTAGGCCGACAAAAGTAACAATCTAGCCAAATAGAAATTAACAAGGTATGCATTTCTGCATCCTTGGTGAGTGCATAGATGTAAAACCTACGTACAGAAAATTTACTAAAGGTGGCTCTCTCCATCTATATTCTGGTGGTACTGTCAATTGACAAGGAATCACATTCAACTGGTAGAAAATATTCATTCAAATTTAAACAAACCTGTAATTCTGTGTAAAACATTTCAGAAGCACAATTATATCCACTTTCCAAAGCAGATATTGACCCTTGATAATCTCCTTCAATTATCAGAGCATTTGCGAGTTGTGAATTGAAGTTGCAAAACCATAACTTTGCAGAAAACCTTCAATGAAGATCCATACATAGTCAGTACAAATCAAGATTAATGCAATAGACGTCATGAATAACACCCATGATAGCTGCTATTTAGAAACAAATAAAAAAAATTAAATACTAACCTAATCCCCTCAATGAATCACTCAAAATTTTCTAATTATTGATAAATGTAATACAAAAGTAACTATAAAATAGAGGCAGCATGAAGTACTAAAATTGCACTCTAAAGCTCAACTGAGATTAAACCAGCCCAATCAGCTAGCAAATATCAATATGCAGATCAATATTAATCAGAATATTAGCCCCACATGTTTTCAACATATATGATGCATGGACACCATGGGTATATCTAAAAAGCCTTGTAATAGCAACAATATAGGTCTGGATATGACAACTATTATTAGTAGAACTGTAAGTATGTACAAGTAAAATAAATCAATGAAGGGACCTGCTTACCCTTCCACAGAAGATGCCGCAAGAGTTAAACCCTTGTTTAATATTTGTTTTTGTGAAGGAATAGCTCCCACGAGATGGTAACACTGGCTGAGTAAGCTATATGCTCTGCACTTCAACTCGAAGCATGAAGGAATGGACTTCAAGAGCAATTGCTGTGGGAACAAAGTGATAAAATGATTTGAAATTCATAACACAGTCTCCTTCCCCTTTTCTTAATTACAAGTGAATATATACTGAATGAAATACACTCATTGCATTGGCTAGTTTTCACCCAATTACTTCAACCCAAAAAATCCCTCTCGCCAATCACTTGAATTGCATGATTATTAGTTACTAAGGGCATCTCCAATCCTTGAATCAAAGCTATTTCAAATTTAAACTTGGGTAAAAATCACTCAAAATTTTACCCAAATCAATGTATGGTTTCATTTTCATAATTGGTTTTCTAAAATTTTTTGAAAGGTATAAATTAGTTTGACAAAAATAAACATCAAAAGATATTTTCAAATTTTTAAAAATTATTTCTGGCCCCAAGAAAGCTAAAATCATGCGAACAATGATGAGCATTCTTTTTTTTTCTCATTTTTTTGCACCAAATTCGTTTTTAGTTTTTTCATAAATTTTTCAGAAAACTGATTCTCAAAACCAAATCAAACATACTTGGGTGCCTCTATTTACACACCACATTTTGTCTCAAGGCACACCTTTAATTATTTGATAAATAAATATTTTGCTCAATACATACCACAATCTTCCATCTTTACCCTTCCTCACACACCCCACCCACAATCTTCCATCTTTACCTTCACTCACTCACTCACACACCCCTACACACCCACGTTCTTCCATCTCCCCCCTCCATTCTCTGTTTAAACAGGTGAAGACCATTGTTATGTTCAGAGTAAAGCAGTTGGTGAGTTCTCATTTGGCAGCACAAAACCGAACAAATCACATATGTTCGACTATTGATAGCCGAACATGTAGCTTGTATTCGACACATAGAAATCGAAAAATTGAATCAAGTTCGACATTAATAGATCGAACAAAACCAATGTGTACGGCGTGGATAGTCGAACAGAAGAATGATATTCGACTCTGGATAACCGAACTAATACAAACGGTTTATCCCCAGTAAGCACATGAAAACGGGAAGAACAAAAAAAAATGAAAAAATAACCTTTTACTTGCTCCATTGTTCCAAATCAGTGTTGCCAGGTGCATCCATCATTCAATCCAATCAAAATATTCAATAATATGTATATTTTTGATTGTTTCTTCCAAGGGTTTTGGGTTTTGTTTTAGGGTTTTTGGATTCTTGACAGATAAGATATGTACGTAACGTTTGAGAATAAAGATGTGTATTATATTCAGTATTGTCCTTCGTGGTAATTATACAAATGATGTGTATTATAACCTTTGTCCTTTGTGGTCATTTTATTTTAGGTTAAAATTGTAACAAAAAAAAATTAATTAATGGTGTGCCTTCAAATGAAAACTGGTGTGTAAATAGATGCTCCCAACATACTTGGCTGTTAAATTTACAAAGAGACAATTTTGTGGCTCTCAAATTTACCATTCTGCCATTAGTGAAGCTTTTACTCAAAGTTATGCCTAAATCTGGGTTTGCCCAAATGAAGCTTTTACTAAAATTTGAGCAAAATTTTGATAAGGGCTGGACAAAGCATTTTTAAACTCTGCAATTCTGATATTGAAACAAAACCCATAAATCAAATCTAAGAAACCAAATGGGGAAAAAAATGTCAACTATGGGAATTTGATAAACAACAATTTCAGATAGATTAGATTAGATATAGATATATGGAAAGTGAGGGGGGATGGGAAGAGAACTTACGCAGCGTTCGAGGTGGGATTTGGCGTGATTGACATTGTGAGAGTGCTTGAGGAGGAGGGTGGAGATGCGAAGGCGAGTCTTGACCTCGACGATTGGGAGGAAAGAGACTTGGCTCTGACAAATGGCTTCAAGGCACTTCACGGCCTTTCCGATCTCACCCTTCTTCTCGTGATGGTCCGCCAGTCCCCACAGTCCCTCCGCCGCTGCTTCCATTTTTTATTTTCCTCCACTTTCTTTTCTTTCCTTTCCTTTTCTTTTCTTTTCTCTTCTCGTTAGGCAATCAGGGACGGCCACACTCCCGGTAAGGGAGGGCTTTCGTCTTCACTTGTCTACCGACTACCCTCGTTACACTACTTCTGTTTTGCATCTCATCATTATCTTAGGGAAATGGTTTGACGTGCAATGCATATGTCATTTTTCATACATCAATCATACATTAATGAGGTGAAGATTTAAAAAGAAAAGGAAAAAAAATTAAGACCAAAATATCACATCAATTAATAAAACTTATTTTTTAAAGCTTCTTTAGTACTCTTAATTTAGAATTCCTAAACATTTTTCTTTTACATAAAATTATACACTAACTTTTCACGAAATGATTTTACTTTGTTCAATTTAAACATTTTTATTTTTATAAAATTATTTATAAAAATTTATAAAATTATACACTAACTTTTTACGAAATGATTTTACTTTGTTCAATTTAAACATTTTTATAAAATTATTTATAAAAATTTATATAATTTTATATAAAATTACAAACATTGTACAAAAAAACAATTTCGGTGGTAGCTGTAATGTCAAAAGGTCAAAACTCTACTTTGCCTTGCAATTTATTATTGCTCAGTTATTATTTTTTAATTATTTATATTTAATTTTTTTAGCAAAATTTATTATAAAAAAATTATGAAGACATCACTTTATAAGTTTATATAAGAGTTTAAAACATTAATAATTTATTGCTACTTAAAATCTCTGATATTTCAAATTGTAGAAGAATAATGAAAATATTTGACATAAATAGACCAAACTATCCTTAAAAAAATAAAAAATAAAACTTATAATTTTTTTTATCTTGTCTCTTTGTATCTCTCTCTAGCATTCAATCTCTCTTTATATTTTTCTACCATCGCCAATCATTGTATATATTAGAGTTCACTGTCATTGCTACCACCATTGTTTCAACCGCATCTGCTACCACCATCATCGTTCTCTATGTGGTTTCTATATATTTACATCTCTCTTTCTCTTTTCACAAGCACACAGTTTTCTTTTCTATAATCACTATCTCTAGTAATATTTCTCTTAATCCATTTGTAATAAACAATGAGACGGTTTATCATCTCATCTAATCATGTCTTTCAACTATTCACCACCATCCATTAAAAAAAAAAACAACAAAAAACACTATTCACTACCATTGAACAATGACGTGAAAGATACCAACACTCTAAGTGAAAACAATCAGTGTTTGGCAATAACAAATAACGGCTCATGTGTGTTAGAATTGATTTTTTATGAGAAGATGTATCAAAAGATATATTTAATTGCTTTTATTATATAAAATACGTGAAATTACCGAAGTCGGTGGTCGATGAAATTTCTTAGACAAATGTTAGTTAAATTTCTCTAACCTCGTGCAATTTTACTAGTTTCAAACTAAAAGTCAATGAAATTTCATTAACTCAATGAATTTCTACTGACTAAAAGAATAAAAAAAAATCATTGACTAAGCTAGTCAATGAAATTTCCACTGACTCAGTGGTATTTCATTTTGCTGGATAGACGCTGAAAAAATATCACCAGCAACTAACAGTGATCATTGAAAAATTGTCAATAAAGGTCAGAGGTAGTAGTTAGCGATTGAAGGTAGTGGCAGAAAATGATAATGACAGTAGGAAATGGTCGAATAATGAAACTAAACTAAGGTTAGTTTGGTACCCAAAAAAAGTTAGTGTCATTAAATTGATGGGATCTTATATCTTCACACCACACAAACTCACAATACACACCACTTTCTTAGTTCACACCACACATAATTTTAAATTATTTTATATTTTCTCAATTCACACCATCAATTTTTGTTTTTTTTTTAAAAAAACAAAATACCCTTATCTTCCCCACTCTCCAACATAACCTAAACCTATCCTTATTCCTAACCCTAACCCTAACTTCCATCACTAGCAGCTATCATTTCTATTGCTACCGCCTCTCCAACCTTATTTTTCTTCTTCTTCAAAACGCTTGCTACCTCTCCATTGCTTATCTACACCACCATTAGTATAGCGATTCTGATCTGGGCCTGAACCATTTGATGTTTTGGATCCAGGTTTCATTGCCTTGTATAGTCATTTATGTCTTATTTCCCTTATACCTCTTTGAGTTTGGCTTTTGGGTTGTATTGGTTGCGTTTAGAACAGGTTGGTACTTTGTTTTTCAAAAACCTTATTGCCTATAATTTTGCTTCTACGCTCGAGTATCACTTATTGTGCTCGAGCAGTCTTTGTGATCTCTCAATACTTTTGTAGGCTTGCAAAACTACTGGGAGTTGGTATTCTTCGCTCGAGTAAAGTTTATTGCGCTCGAGCGGTCTTGGCTCAAGCGGCCCTTATTGCGCTCAAGCGTTGGTCTTCTGTTTGTAAAACAACTAGGAGTTTGTATTTCACACTCAAGCGACAACTTCTTACGCTCAAGCGATCACGTCTTTTGTGTCTTACGCTCGAGCGTCATTTCTCGCGCTCGAACGGACTGCGCGTATATCAATATGTAAAAGTCACTTTTTACCTCATTTTTTCATTTCACTCTCTCTCTAAACTTTTTAAAAACCCTAGATCTACACTCTCTTTCTCTCTCTCTAAAACTCACATTCTATATTCTAAAACACCTAAATCCATTGATTTCTCTACCCTACTCCCTTTGAGAAAAAAGGTAGAGCTCATTTGGAGCTCCATTTTTGTCCGAACAAAGTTGGGTTTCAACATTGTTGAAGTTTATTCCCTCTCTCTCTCATCTTCTAAGCTTGAGGTAGGGATTCTACACACTCTTGTATGAGTTTTACCTTAGTTATTTCAAAAGATTATTGTGGTTTGGGGTTTTTTGGTAAAATCTAAGTGTAGACACTCCATTTTTTGCTACCTTTAAGACTTGAGCGCCGCAAATTGATCACCCAATAATAAATTGATATGCTATACAATTGCTCGATTTTCTCAACAGGAAGCCTCGGTTTCAAGCCTCAAAAGCCCACAAACCTTGCACCACTTTTGGACCAAAACTGTATTTTTCTAAGCCTGACCACTCAGAAGCCTGCAGGCCAGCTAGTGGCCGGGTGATCAGAAGTGAGTGGCCGGCCGGCTAGTTGTTCCGGTAAAACAAATATTTTCTTACTAGTTGTGTCAACTGTTTCCACAAGTACATGCACTGCACCAGCTGTCTCTATACTGATATTTTCGAGATAGTAACATATTTTTCTATATATACTTGACCTCCTTCTAGAATTTAGGTTAGAAAAATTTGGTGAAGCAAAATTCTTGAAAAATATTTCTCTCTCTACCTTGTAACCTATATATACGTCACCTAGACTTCCTAAACCAAATTTTTAGGGTTCTTTACCGAGGTTATTGAGCTTGAATTTCAGCTTTTGAGGGTGGGAATTTGTTAGTTTGAAACTCAAAGTGTTACTCCTCTTTAAGAGGTATAACTCCTAGCTCCTTCACACTACTTCTTTCCTATATTTTCTTACTATTTTTGGACTGTTTTTCAACTATTTTTATGGACTGAAACTTGTGGTTTGAAGCTACTAAAGGTAGAGGGGTTAATCACCATTTTTTGAACATTGTCTTCTAAGCTTTTGCACTTGTGTTTCCCATCTCTTCCTCAACTTTTTTCCAACTTTTTACCACTGATTTTCAGAGATTTTCAGAGGCTAAAAATATAGTTTTGAGATCCCAAAAATGGAGGGGTTAGCCACCCCTCCTTATGCTTGTTTACTAGGTCAATTTCTCTATTGTTTTAGCTAACTTTTTCAAGTTTTTCCATGTTATTTCGAGCATTATTTTTAGCTATTTTAGGACTGTTTTAGATTTTTTTATTTCATTTATGCTTTGTATAGCCTGCTTGTAGTGTAGTTGTCCTCATACGTTTGGTGGTTTAGGCCTTAGCCATCAACCTATTTGAGTTGATAGCATTTATTTTATGCTTTTCATGCTTGTGTTCATACATAATCACATCTGCAACCTCCCTCCTTTCTTAGCTTTTTATTTCTTTGAGAGTTATTTCAACCAAGTGTTGTTTAAGCTTGAGAAATAGACCCTTCAATGCTAAATGGTTTAATTTCTTCAGAGGTTCATTACCAGGGCATTACCTCTCTCTCATGCCCAAAACAACTTCTTGTTTGACACTTCTCTCCATTTAGTGGATTAATGCTCATTTTTTGACTAAAATGACTAATGAATGGAAAGGTAAGTAAAAAAAGCAATAAAATTGAACTAAAATGGAACAAGATAATAAAATGGTTTGGGTTCAATCGGACGTTAATTGAACCAATTGAGTCTTGAGTCATTTCATAATTGTTAGTGATGATAATGATTCAAGATTTGATGTCAGCCACTTCCCTTAATCAATATCATGATAGAGAGAGGGTTTCGTTGGTCTTTTAACTTCATTTATTGAGCTTTTGTCCCTTAATTCATAAACCATCACGTAACGAGTTTGCGTCGATTGATCGTTTGCGAATCAAGTTTACCTCTTATTTGATCTGTTTGGTGATAAGAAGAGGCAAGATGGACAAACATCCCCTGAAAATACTCTGTTTGTGTTATGTTTCTTGTCTGTTGCAGCAGGGCAGTAACAAAAACTAGTGGTCGACCGACCACCTCTTTTCAGTTAGGCAGTGTCTTTTTTCTTGCAAAATAGAGCAGAGGCTGAAGCAAAAACAGTTCAATTTTCTGACTGCAAAACAGGAGCATTTTGGTAGCCAAACAAAGGGCATTTTTGGATAGAAAATCCGCATTCATGCATAAGCCACTCCTCATTTCTCGGGGCCCGTTAAACTATGTTTAATAGTGGACTTGTAATAATATTACTTCGCAAATTAATTCCGTGTTGTAACTAATTGGTTAGTTTTTGTATTAATTAGTTAAAATAGTTAGTTAATACTTTGTGTTGTAATTAGAATAGCTAGTTAATTTCTTTTTGTGTTGTAATTAATTAATTCATTGGTTACAATAGCTAGTTAAGTTTGTATTGTACTTAATTAGCTAGAATAGTTAATTTGTGGCGTTGTAATAATTAGCTTAATTAACTACGACATTTATTCGGACCCTCTTTTGCAAGGACAAATATGTAATAATGTATATGTCTTTCAACCCCAATTTCTTTCTCCCTTTTATGTACTTGCTTATGATAGA